TTTTTTTTTTTTTCATTTTGAGACAGAGTCTCCCTCTGTTGCCCAGGCTGGAATGCAGCGGCACGATCTCCGCTCACTGCAACTTGAATCTCCCAGATTCAAGTGATTCTCTTGCCTCAGCCTCCCAAGTAGCTGGGATTACAGGCACATGCCACTATGCCTGGCTAATTTTTGTATTTTTAGTAGAAACAGGGTTTCACTATGTTGGCCAGGCTGGTCTCAACCTCCTGACCTCAAGTGATCTGCCCGCCTAAGCCTCCCAAAGTGCTGGGATTACAGGCATGAGCCACCACGCCCGGCCCACTGTTTCTTGAATTCACCAAGCTTCTGACTTTGCCTGGGACACTCTTCATGCAGATATCCCTCACCTCCTCTAGGTTGAATGTCACTTTTCAGTAAGACTTTCCCTAGCTATTTTCATAAATATATACATATACATACATGTGTGTGTATATCTACATATGCATGTATGTGTGTGTGTGTATATATATATATACACAAACATATATATTCATTCATATATAAATATCAGTGGCTCATCCTTTCCTCATTTCCTATCTTCCATCTCTACTTTCTTTTTCTTTATTGCATTTATTACCAACTAACAAAGTCTATGTTTTGTTTGCTTCTTCATTTATTTTTGGTCTTCCCCATTAGGATATAAGCTCCTCAAAGGTAGAAAGTTTTACCTGTTTTGCTCATGGTGAATTCCCAGAGCACAGGACAATATCTGGCACAAAAGAAACACTCAATAAAATATCTGTTGAATGGATCAATGTTATCCATTACCACCACTTCTACTACTATTGATCTCAGTTACACAATAGCCAATAATGGGTTTACATGAGAATGAACTATACCAGAAAGCCAAATTTTGATCCATAATGAGAAAAATATCAAGTGGCACAAAATATTCACTTGTCAGAAAAGGCCAATCTTAAAAAAGCAAGAATCTTAGTATCAAACATTGCCTGAATGTCACTGCATAGAAACAGAGAAAAGGAAAGTGGATGTACACTCAGCACACTGTACGAATATTTGCTACAGGGCTGTCTTCACACCAGGTAAATGCCTGCTATACAGACCACGATACTTACATCATCTCATCAGGACCACTCTTACATAATGCTAGAAATAACTAGAGCTTCTCTCTGTGCTTAGTTTTCTCAGTACTCCAAGATGACTTTTCTGTCTTTCTTTTCCCCCAAGAAAACATCTGCAAGTAATCTTCTGTATTGATATATACCTTTCTCATGCCCAAAACCAACATATAACAATAAAATTTTGAATTTCCAGATAGTTCTATTTCCCATAGACATTAATGTCTTCACCTATTTCAGTAAATTTTTGCTACCCTTAGTCAATGAAAGAGTGACCTTTCTCTTTCATAATTAAATAAGTGTTTACTGATTGACTAATAATATATATCCAGCACTTTGCTAGAGCCTACAGAGGATAACCAAGTATGGGACAGCAAACCTGCTATTAAGAAACCTATCATCTTAGAGAGTAACAAAGCCTACAGGTTGGAAGAATTTAGAGAACAACATGATACATAAATAAATTATCTGCACTTAAAACATACAGAAATCCACTCACTCTTTCTAATCCTTACCTGTTGACTCTACGAGGCCGTTTTTCAGGCTTAATATCCACATCATAGTGATACACATCTATTTTAGGAATCTGAACCTGAAAATGATTGGCTAACAGTCGAATTGGTTTTCCAACAGTTCCAAGGCCAGGACGACGAGGTGGCTGAAACAGGCTAGCCGGAGGTCCTAAAGAGATTGAAAGACATTTGCTGTGCTATTTTTTTTTTTTTTTTTTTT